TATATATATATATATATATATATATATATATATATATATATATATATATATATTTATCACACTGGCCGATTCCCACCAAGGCAGGGTGGCCCGAAAAAGAAAAACTTTCACCATCATTCACTCCATCACTGTCTTGCCAGAAGGGTGCTTTACACTACAGTTTTTAAACTGCAACATTAACACCCCTCCTTCAGAGTGCAGGCACTGTACTTCCCATCTCCAGGACTCAAGTCCGGATATATATATATATATATATATATATATATATATATATATATATATATATATATATATATATATATATATATATATATATATATATATATATATATATATATATATATATATATATATATATATATATATATATATATATATATATATATTATATATATATATATATATATATAGTTATAATCACAGCTTTTTCAATCATGATAATATTCCTGGAAATATGCCATGGTACGATTTGAAAATCCAAGTTTTGCAATGGTCCAGCGGGATTCTTGAGTTTTCCTCGAACCCCGACAACAACACAAACCCGTTCCTGCAGGGATGAGGGCCATGGGTGTGGCTCTTATCTACATATGTAACACCTGATACCCGGGTGAATGCAGTGTCTGTATACTCCGGGTGCTTCATAAAGTTTAAAACCTAGACAAGGGAGACAAAACAAAAGAACAAGCCAGGCGAAATATTATCACTACATAAAATAAAATGAAAATATAATGAAAACGAATAAGACCACAGGTGTGGGCCCTACTTACTTTTATACTCTATTAAGATTTCATTAGAGTAGTAGCAAGGCTGTTCGTTGTTTGATAGAGGACATGTTCTCAATTATTTTTTTATGAACTGACTGCTAGTACGGGGAATCTGCCCACTCACTTCCGGAGCCAGAACAATATTTACGAGGTAGCCTATGTGTGTGGGTCTCGAAGCACTAACACTGGAGGAGTTCCTAAAGGTTTAGCCCTTCACACCAATAGTAATACTACTACTACTACTACTACTACTACTACTACTACTACTACTACTACTACTGCTACTACTACTACTACTACTACTACTAATAATAATAATAATGTTACTACTACCACTACTACTACTAATAATAATAACAACAGTAATAATAATAATAATAATAATAATAATAATAATAATAATAATAATAATAATAATAATAATAATAATAATCTCCATCACTAAAACATCGCAAGGGCGTTGTGGTGTTTCCAGTTGAATTGGTGTCTTATTAAATCTACATTTTATTAAATATAAGCGTTTTGTGTATAGTAAGAAAACGACATGTAATACGTTGACGCATTACGGATGATTTTTGTAATTGCTTATTTACAGCTACATGGGCAGAGTTATGCTTGTGGTGTCCAGTCTTCAGCGTTTATCAAATCACTTTTTTTTCAAATATATTTAGTGTTTGTAGCATTTACCATTCCAGTGTTCTACACGCAGGAGTAGAAAAATAGAAAGAGATCAAAGAGAAGGAAGGGTAGCAATCAGTCGAAATTAAAATTATAGGGTGTGCCTGGTGTTAGGAGTACATGGCTTACAATTCAGCAGATAATTGTTTTGTGACACCTGTAAGTGAGAGGTTTAACTAACTTCAGGGTAACAGGTATCTACACTCGTGGAGAGCTAACGACCCAGGTTCGAATCCTGCTGGCTACGATATTTCTTTTCATATATTTTCGCTTGCTTCTGCTAATGGCACTGAATATGTTTCATGCATCTTAATGAACTCGCGTATTAAATTTCCCGCCATGTTTCTGTGATAGAGAACTGTGATAAATGACAATCAGAAAGGAAAAATGTAAGATCTCGAGCAATTACATATTTCATTGTTCCCTCCTTGTTATAAATTTTATGGCTTAATTTCCAGAAAATACGCATTACACCATTTGAAAATACAATTTCATGAATATTTTTAAACGCGAGCAATTTTTACAGCATCATAAATTCGTTGGGAAACTCTCAGGCTTTTATGTTTCCTGGTTTTTCACATGTGTGTAAAATTTATGACTCTCAATCTGAAATACGCGAGGTAACAGGAATGTAAGAAAACATTCTAATTTCTGTGGAGGTCGACCATAACTGAGAGAAAGACCAAAGCGTGCTTGTTCATATCAAGACAGTTTGACAGAAATAGGAGTGCAAAAATGTTTTTGAAAATAATATAGTTGCGAAAAGCACGTAAAAACATTGGTAGTTATTTAAAACTTCTCTCATGGAAGGCGTGGTAAAAACAAAAACACCATTTGCATCCGGCACAATGTGCATGGAGTTAAAGAGTAAATACCAAAATAAATATATGACCAGTAAAGTGATACCTCCTGTGGAGCCTAGTGATTCCCCGTCCTTGGAGAAGAATGTAAAAACTACTCAGGATTTGTGACTTATATTCATTTGACTGTAGTTATCTTGCATATAATATAACATTAATAGTATACAATACTGACAAGTAGACGAATTAGAAACAAGTGCAGGAGCTGGATATATTTGTACTGAAGACGTTTCGCCAACCAGTGACTATTAGCTCAACACAGAGGTAATTGTTACTGCCACTGGTTCGCGAAACGTCCTCAGTATAAAGGTACTAGGTGAGTATTGGCTCTTGCCAGTACTATTTACAGACATGTGGCTATTCTTGTATGAGAGTATGATGTTAACTTGAGTAACAAATAACAAAAAAAGGCACAATACCGTGACTGGAACGATACACAAATAACCGGCACATAGAAAAGAGGAGCTTACAACGTTTCGGTCCGACTTGGACCAATTGCAGTCACACTTGAGTGACTGGTGCTGATCTTTCTGATTAGTTGTAGAAAATTCTGTATTCTTTGAGTATTATTTGCATTTAGTTCGCGCTTTTATACAGTTTAAAGTTATAATGGTCTCTTCCGAGAGAAAGTACTGTACCTAAATCATCAGTGTTATCGTGCATTTCAAGGCCAGTACAAGACAATCTCCACAGTTATTATTTACATTCATGATGAAGCGCTAAACCCGAAAAGGTTATATAGCGTTATGGAAGGGCATCATAAGCTCAGTTTCTAGAATCAAGAGCCCTCCCTCACCGCCATCGAGGAACTTCCCTCTAGGGATGCTCAAGAGCTGCTCACCGGCATCAAGGAATTTTCCTTGAGGTGTGCTCAAGAGGAAATAATCCCCACAAAATGGACTGACATTCGTAAGTCGTGTATATCTGTGTCAGGCTTCAACTTCGTACATGTTGCAACAATATCTTATGGAGTTTAGGTCAATCAGAAACGGCAGAATCACTCACAGTTAAGATAGGAAGTTGTGATGTGTGTTCACGTTTGAAGCCAAGGACTGCGCCATCTCTCTCACTTTGCAGGCCGGAAACCCAACGCACATGATGAGAGAGTGAAATATTTAATGATTAGCTTTCCGTGGTGATCGAAGTTTCTTGATTTTTTGTTTAATTTCAGGCCTACCGACCGGATAAAGGTCGTTAAGGCCGCAGTACACCAAGGTCGTTTATCCGGTTTAGCCTAAATATTGCAATTATTGGAAAGTGCTAAATCCGTAAAGGTCATACAGCGCCTGGGGCATGAGATGTAATCAGATTTGATCCAAGGAAAGAATTCCTCCAGTTTCTTGTATCAAAAGCCCTATTGACTTATAAATCACATCAACGTTGCAATCGACCTAAACACAAACATCAAGGCTGAACTAATTCCCGTGAAAAGCATTAGTTTTCAAGTCTATGAGGGATTTTTTCCTCTGACGACACAGGTGGAACTTATTACGTTATTCTAAAACAGTTTTTACCTGTTTCAGTTGTATAATGGAAGAAATACTTCAGTCTGAAGTCATTGGTGGATGACTGAAATCTCCCTTGGCTTACGGGATATCAATATATTTGAATTTTCTATACACTAGCTAACCTACTGTAGCATAAGTCCTCACGCTGGGGACTCTCAAACCTGGCCAAGAAACCCTGGCTGAGTTACTAGGAGGTTGGGTAATAATTGAGTTTAAAGTTTGTCGACTGCGTTTAAACTGTTCACTACCGGTCACGAATACTTCTATCCAATACCAGGGATTAAATTAAATTATTGTTTACTTCTGCCTTGAGTTATGTGGAGATATCTGTGAGTACGGAAGCTACTCCCAATATTTCCCCTCACCGCAAAAGCGGATGAGAACGATTTTCTTGCACTAGAGTAAATCACACATGATTACTATATATTATTGTCTACCTCACGCTTACTCTTGCCTCCTCCACCATTTTCAAACTTCCTTAAAAACTTTAAGAACTATTTTTCTTATTTTATAATAATAATAATAATAATAATAATAATAATAATAATAATAATAATAATAATAATAATAATAATAATAATAATAATAATAATGATAATAAAATAATAATAATAATAATAATAAAAATAATAGCAACAATAAAAATGATCATAATAAAATGACAATATTACTAATGTATAATAACAACCATCATCGAGTTTTTCATTGTTTCTGTCGGGATTTGGTTGGAGAGTTCCAATCCATGTATAATTCAAGGAAAGCTTCAAAAAACTACACCTAATGAAACTTTCTGAATTACCATTAACGTTTAAGGTGTTTGTGCAGTTACCATCTGTTGGTACTACCATAAAGAAAATAACAGACCAAACTGATAACCTGCAAGTATACTTTATTCCATAAGATACTTATGGATTAAGGCAAATTCTCCGTTTGTACATGATCATTAAAAAAAATTATCTCTTGGTTTATATGCAGTTCTAATTAATAAAGAATTGACCGAAGTGTTTTTTGAAATGCAGCTTTTGAATGAGGAGTCAGAGGAACACTCAAGATTGAAGATGATGTCACAAATAAAATATATGTTAGTCCTGTGACACTGGCTTCTCCAACGCTTCGTCTGTCTTATTATTTTCATGTAGTATCTGCCTCAGCGATTCACTCAGGATCCAGGTATTTTTTTTTCCATCACTGGGATAAATGACCCGATTTATATAGCCTCTCCTTTATTTAAATAATTGCAATAACTAAAATTTACATTGGATAATGCTAAAAAAGAACAATACTTCCACAATATTGAAAGTTTGTGTCGTGACATTAAATACAGGTAAAGTATGAAGATGAGGAAAATAACACATTTGTGAGAGTGGAAAGTTGTCTTATTGTGTTGTATTATAGAGAGGAAAATGTATGTTGATCCATAAATTACAAAGTTAAGTTTAAACCTTGTTCAAAGCATCTCTCCATAAATGGTTTAAATGGCACACACCAGTCCAACAACAACAGCAAAAAAATAGAACTAATAAGGGCGCCTGAATGACTATCGTTCTTAGAGGAGTGAGGTTGAGGTATGTAATTGGCTCTAATCGTAGTAATTCAGTAAACCATTCACCATTTCCACTACAGAAAGCAAGTGATATAAAAACCACCTAGTTAGGTATTCCAAGCATGGAACTATCAGGTTCTGAGTAACAGGGACAACACCTAGTATAACTTTCTGAGTATAGAACTACTAGATTCTGCGTAACAAAGGACACGTTGACTGTTGACAAAGTTCACTTCATATTTTCATCTGGAGTGTAGTTTTGTTTACCATGACCTGCCTGTGGGCTTGCAGACCCACTTGGGTGGGGTGCACAGTTCAAAACAACACTTCTCCGATGAGCTGCAGGAGCTGTCATTGGTACATGTCTTGCTGTAGCTACCAGTGCCGGAACATCCAGTGTTGGGACACGTACCTTGATGTGCTGAAGAAGAAAGGAAGAAAATCACTTAAGTTTATAAAGCTAAATAAATACACTAGGTCTCCATGATACTAATTTGTCGTATTATCATAAACTTTAGTATTCCTCTATGTTTAAGAATTTAATCGTTATCACCTTACCTGCAGAAACCTTCACAGAGAATCCTCCACTTCCAGACCCATGGATGCCAGCTGCAGCACCTCCAGATCCACTGGAACTAATTGAGGCAAATGCGCTACTTCCAAGACTTCCTCTTCCAGAGCCACTGCCAAGACCACCAACAAATACTCCTCCTGGCTTGGTACCTTTGATGAGAGTTACTTTATGGCTGCCCGCTCCTAAACCACTTGAACCTCCAGTGCCGGCGGAAAAACCTGAGCTACCAGAACCAAAGCTACCCGTAGAAGCATGGCTGCTAGCACTGCTGGAACCAAAAGCACCCGAGGATGCATGGGCTCCGGAACTGCCTGTACCAAAACCACCGGAAGCTCCTAACCCACTCGAGCCACCGGCTCCGAAACTGCCTGCTGATCCAAGGCTTCCAGAGCCACCAGCACCGAAGCTGCCTGCTAACCCATGACCACCAGAGCCACCGGCACTAAAGCTGCCTGCTGACCCATGACCACCCGAGCCACCAGCACCGAAGCTGCCTGCTGACCCATGACCACCAGAGCCACCAGCACCAAAGCTGCCTGCTGACCCATGACCACCAGAGCCACCGGCACCAAAGGCACCTGAAGACCCAAGGTTTCCAGAGCCGCCAGAACCATAGCTGCCTGCAGATCCATGACTGCCAGAACCACCAGCACCAAAGCTGCCTGCTGACCCATGACTGCCAGAGCCACCAGCACCAAAGCTGCCTGCTAACCCATGACTGCCAGAGCCACCAGCACCAAAGCTGCCTGCTGACCCATGACTGCCAGAACCACCAGCACCAAAGCTGCCTGCTGACCCACGACTTCCAGAGCCACCAGCACCAACGCTGCCTGCTGACCCATGACTTCCAGTGCCACCAGCACCGAAGCTGCCTGCTGACCCATGACTGCCAGAGCCACCAGCACCAAAGTTGCCTGCTGACCCATGACTTCCAGCGCCACCAGCACCGAAGCTGCCTGCTGACCCATGACTGCCAGAGCCACCAGCACCAAAGCTGCCTGCTGATCCATGACTTCCAGTGCCACCAGCACCGAAGCTGCCTGCTGACCCATGACTGCCAGAGCCACCAGCACCAAAGCTGCCTGCTGACCCATGACTTCCAGCGCCACCAGCACCGAAGCTGCCTGCTAGCTTATGACTGCCAGACCCACCAGCACCGAAGCTCCCTGCTGATCCATGACTGCCAGAGCCACCAGTACCGAAGCTACCTGCTGACCCATGACTGCCAGAGCCACCAGCACCGAAGCTGCCTGCTGACCCATGACTTCCAGCGCCACCAGCACCGAAGCTGCCTGCTAACCCATGACTGCCAGAGCCACCAGCACCGAAGACCCCTGCTGACCCATGACTTCCAGCGCCACCAGCACCAAAGCTCCCTGCTAATTTATGACTGCCAGAGCCACCAGCACCGAAGCTGCCTGCTGACCCATGACTTTCAGCGCCACCAGCACCGAAGCTGCCTGCTGTCCCATGGCTTCCAGCGCCTCCAGCACCGAAGCTGCCTGCTAACCTATGACTGCCAGAACCACCAGCACCGAAGCTGCCTGCTGACCCATGACTTCCAGAGCTGCCAGCACCAAAGCTGCCTGCTAACCCATGACTTCCAGAGCCACCAGCACCGAAAGCACCGGAAGATCCAAGGCTTCCAGAGCCGCTAGAACCATATCCTCCAGAACCACTGGAACCAAAGCTACTCGAAGACCCTTTGCTTCCAGAACCTGCAGAGCCGAAAACACCTGAAGATCCAATACTTCCAGCTCCTTTAGAACCAAAGCTTCCTGAAGACCCAAAACCTCCAGTTCCTCCAGAGCCAAAACTACCAGGCGATACAAATCCTCCAGCGCCACCGAGGCCAGTGCTTCCAGAGGATCCTCGACTTCCATGTCCCCCAGAACTGAAACCTCCAGAAAGGCCCAATCCTCCAGATCCACCAGCTCCAAAAGCTCCTGTGCTTCCAGAAGCAAGGCTGCCAGACCCGAATCCACCTAAGGATCCATGGCCACCAGCAGAAGCAGCGCCGCCAGATCTGTAAAGGAATCAGAATGTCAGTTACATAATATATAAAATAGGTACCTTCAAAAGTTTGGAGCACAAGTGCAACTTGAAGCAATTATATATATATAATATATATATATATATATATATATATATATATATATATATATTTATATATATAGGAAGTACCACGAAGCGAGTGGTACTGAACAATAACACCACTGCACTAGCCAAGGAGTCGAACCCATGCTGCTTTGGCCCGCCTCATGTGAGCGAAAAAGCATGACGCTTTAGACCACTAGACTAGGATTTTGTGGTCTAGTGGTCTAAAGTGTCATGCGTTTTCGCTCACCCTGAGGCGGGCCAAAGCAGCATGGGTTCGACTTCTTGGCTAGTGCAGTGTTGTTATGTTGTTATATATATATATATATATATATATATCTATATATATTATATATATATATATATATATATATATATATATATATATATATTAATTATAATTCCACTATTTGCAGTATCGGAGATTAACTGAAGTGACAAAGTTTTTCAAGTTTTACAACTCATTACGACTGGTACCTGACCATAAATTTGTAAACAGTTCATTACAATAGTAACTTCCTTATCTATCAAAACATTAGAACTCTGACCCTGGACCCATTATGTGCTTCTATAATCTTTTGACTATTGCCAGCAAGATGGGTATAGGTGCATAATAAAGCACCTAAACTTGCCTGACAGCATTTTTGAAGTCTTCACAACGAAGTGAATTTTAAAGAAACAATGGAAATTTTAGTACCAGCTGGTAAGTCTTGAGTGTATTTTTATCATCTCACTCTCGAGGAGGTGCGAAAATATTTATTAGTTGAATATCAATGTACGTGTTTATGTACTCACTTGACTGTATTTGCCTAATTGTAGTTGCAGGAATTGAGTCTCAGTTCTTGTCCCCGCCTTTCCTTTGGCCGCCACTGATTTCGCTCCCTCCTGGCTGCGTAAGATCTATCATACCTATTGCTAAAACTCATGAATCCCACCTCTACCATTTCGCTGTCTTGGTCATTCCATTTCCTGATCACTCTAAGGTTAAAAAAAAGTGTTTTCTAACATCCCTTTGACTCATTTGTGTCTTTAACTTCCAGCTGTAACCTCGTACACCCGAGACCCTAGTCTCAAGCAGGTTCGCCCTGTCCTCCCTTGCAATTCATCTCAGCATTGTGTGTGTATGTGTCTGTGTGTACTCACCTATATGCGGTTGCAGAGGTTGAGTCTTAACTTCTGGCTCAGTGTATGTGTGTACTCATCTAGTTGTACTCACCTAGTTGAGGTTGTAGGGGTCGAATCCAAGCTCCTGGCCCCGCCTCTTCACTGGTCGCTACTAGGTCACTCTCCCTCAACCGTGAGCTTTACCATACCTCTGCTTATACCTATGTATGGATCCTGCCTCCACTACATCGCTTCCCAAACTATTCCACTTCCTGACTACTCTGTGGCTGAAGAAATACTTCCTAATATCCCTGTGATTCATCTGTGTCTTCAACTTCCAACTGTGACCCCTTGTTGCTGTGTCCCATCTCTGGAACATCCTGTCTTTGTCTACCTTGTCAATTCCTCTCAGTATTTTGTATGTCGTTATCATGTCCTCCCTATCTCTCCTGTCCTCCAGTGTCGTCAGGTTGATTTCCTTTAACCTCTCCTCGTAGGACATACCTCTTAGCTCTGGAACTAGTCTTGTTGCAAACCTTTGCACTTTCTCTAGTTTCTTTACGTGCTTGGCTAGGTGTGGGTTCCAGACTGGTGCCGCATACTCCAATATGGGCCTAACGTACACGGTGTACAGGGTCCTGAACGATTCCTTACTAAGATGTCGGAATGCTGTTCTTAGGTTTGCTAGGCGCCCATATGCTGCAGCAGTTATTTGGTTGATGTGCGCTTCAGGAGATGTGCCTGGTGTTATACTCACCCCAAGATCTTTTTCCTTGAGTGAGGTTTGTAGTCTCTGGCCCCCTAGACTGTACTCCGTCTGCGGTCTTCTTTGCCCTTCCCCAATCTTCATGACTTTGCACTTGGTGGGGTTGAACTCCAGGAGCCAATTGCTGGACCAGGTCTGCAGCCTGTCTAGATCCCTTTGTAGTTCTGCCTGGTCTTCGATCGAATGAATTCTTCTCATCAACTTTACGTCATCTGCAAACAGGGACACTTTGGAGTCTATTCCTTCCGTCATGTCGTTCACAAATACCAGAAACAGCACTGGTCCTAGGACTGACCCCTGTGGGACCCCGCTAGTCACAGGTGCCCACTCTGACACCTCGCCACGTACCATGACTCGCTGCTGTCTTCCTGACAAGTATTCTCTGATCCATTGTAGTGCCTTCCCTGTTATCCCTGCTTGGTCCTTCAGTTATTGCACTAATCTCTTGTGTGGAACTGTGTCAAACGCCTTCTTGTAGTCCAAGAAAATGCAATCCACCCACCCCTCTCTCTCTTGTCTTACTGCTGTCACCATGTCATAGAACTCCGGTAGGTTTGTGACACAGAATTTCCCGTCCCTGAAACCATGTTGGCTGCTGTTGATGAAATCATTCCTTTCTAGGTGTTCCACCACTCTTCTCCTGATAATCTTCTCCATGACTTTGCATAACGTGTGTGTGTGTGTGTGTGTGTGTGTGTGTGTGTGTGTGTGTGTGTGTGTGTGTGTGTGTGCGTACGTTACTAACCTGGCAGCATTTGCGGATAGTTGTGTCGTACTTTAGCTCTACATTATCTGCTCTGCCTAAAACAGTTCGCTCGTTTTCAATCATAATATTGATCTGATACTTGTTGACGTCTCTGTGAGTCATCGAGGCGTTTAATTTCCATCTGTGTTCCTTCGATCTGATCTCAAATGATGAATATTCTATTTATGTCCATATTTTTCTGTCCCGGAGATTTTTGCATGCTGTGATCATGTCCCGTTTTGTTAACGCTTTTCAGCTTGTGGGTGTCAGGCCCCCTAACGAACTTACCTCAAAGATAAATTTGTGTGCATACCAGTACTTGCCTATATTTGTGTACATACATACGCATGATGAGTTTACACACACACACACACACACACACACACACACACACGTACATGAGAATACGCACACACACGTATCTGGTGTGCTCACCCTGCAGAACTGAACGAGGATGAAGACGAGAAGCTGGAAGCTGAGGCTGCTGCTGCAGCAGCTGCAGATGCTGAAGACGACGCTGATGCCCGGGAGGCGCCACCTGAGGAGCCGTAGACCTTCTTGGCAGGCCAGGTAGCAGTGGACGTGCCCACAAGTGCCACCAGTGCCACCACCAACACGCGCACTGAGCGGACGTCATCATTAGTATTGATTTTGGTTAAGATTAGAATGCAATAAAATTCAATAATAATGGCTGATACATTTAACACATTCTTTAAATTAAAAACTTTTTTTGCTGTCTTTTTTATTACTCCCCCTATGGTCTCAGATCTATGGGACATTCTTTGTGTATTTGTTCAGATGAAAAAAAGAACTGTAAATTTTGAGTGTTTTACAAATAACCAGCACATAGGAGATAGAAACTTATGACGACGTTTTGGCCCGACTTGAACCATTAACTAGTCACACACTAGCTTCTTTACTTTCGTGTGTTAGTGTGTGACAGTTAATGGTCCAAGTCGGACCGAAACGTCGTCATAAGTTTCTTTCTCCTATGTGCTGGTTATTGTTACAGTCATGTTGGTGTGTGTTGGGGGGGGAGGTTACCGTTGCTATGTTTGGTTACTGTTGTTGTGTACTTACCTTTGTGTGGACAAATATTCCGTTAAGTGTATTTCTTGTCCCATAGATTACATATCCCATTAATAAAGACTACTTATAGAAACCATTATTTGGTATTAAAATGTAATGTATTTGTGGCATATAAACGCACTGCATAAAAAATAAATGTCGTTACTTATCTCTCGGGGACATAATTTTAATATTTTCTCAAACTTTCATCTTTGGTCATTCAAAATTGAAAATGTATTTTTGAAGTATGTGAAAATTATTATTTTTACGTCAACTGTCTCTTGAGCTCACTACCTACCTACACTCAGTAATGAATTTATCCCTCATACAGATAGAGCATTCGGCTCACAACCGAAAAAGCCCACTTAACTTCCCATATATCTCTCCTTGCACCAGCTGCCGTTCTTCATCTACTAGTAAGTAGGTTCCTAGTAGTTATTTGACTGCCGGGTATCGAATCATAATGAAGGACCACAATGGAAATAAGCCATATGCCACTTGGCTTTCTTAGTCTATCTGGGGTTAATAACCTTAAGAAAATCTTCAAATAACGTGCTAGCCTTGGTGCTGGTAAGAATGAAGAAGAGTTAGCAATAAGAATGAAAGGAATTAAACAAAGCCAGAGGAAACTTACTGGTTATGATGTCGTGGTGTTAGATTCTTTGGTGGTTTTCAAAATCTGTTCCTAAAGCAGAAATCTGCGGAAGATGGTTCTCAAGTTGAGGGCCCACAAATTCAGGTCGAAAGCTTCAGGTCCTTGAGACTGGCTGTGTTAATGGTGATCCCAGGCTTGCTGTTCCTCCAGTCCAGCCTTGCAGGTCCACTATACACAGCCAGCGCCTCCACCACCTCTTATATAGTGCTCTCACGAGCTGAATGGTAGCAGGATGTCGGGCTTTCCCGGCGATTCCAGAGAGCACTCCGGTTAGCGGACCGGTTCCGCGAATGTATGCACGAAGTTCATTTTTCATCCATGAGCGAGAGCTTGTTACTGTTAAATTTAATTTTTGGAAATATCTTCAGTGTGAATTCTAAAACTTTCATACTTTTTTATTTTCACCATTTACTTAATTTTAGACCAAAATAGAATAAACAAATACATTATTTATACTCTAGTGTGAACTACAGCAGTTTACAGGTAAGATACATTATTATGTTCCATTACCTTGACAATGTTTTAGAGATGTTCACAGTGGTAAAAAAAATCATAAACTGGATTAGGTCAACCGTGCCGGTCTCTTCAGTGTCACTTGATAAACTCAGTACATTTTTCTTTAGACAACTAGTTATTTTATTGAGACTGTTGTTGATTATCAAATGATATTTATTTAGAATGATGGTAATGTTCCTCGAAGACTGAATATTGATCATAAACATATTGGCAGAATAACCTGCTCATATTTGTGACTCAATGATAAAATTCTTCTTTGAATTATTGTTTCTAAAAAGGAGCAATTGTTAACTTATTAAGGTAATATTAATAAGTCACATAGGTCGTGTCTTGAGACCCTCTCATTCAGAGCAGTCTGTTAAAATCTCAGCTTGTAAGAAGTTCACAGATCAGTTAGAGAAACCAAAACATCGACATAGCAGCTTCATTACATGTGTGAGTCTTGTGTTTTTAAGATGATGTCTGGTTTAAATGCCTTTCCACAATCTGTTTTAAGAGAGATATTAAGAATGTTGCGTTGTTATACACACACTTGCTTCCACACCCAGTAACTCAGACACTGACATAGTTTTCATCCGGGAGGATCTCTAAAGCACTCTTGTTAATGTAGATTATGGACGCAGTTTTAAAGCTCCAAACCACTGCATAGTGATCAGGAGCGCCTACTTTGTAAACACATCTGATTCTGGATATTTTTATTCTGAAGACATTTCTCTGCCCTAGGCTGAGGAACTAATTACCTCGTCCTCTACTGCCTCCGGTTTCAACACCTTTAACTTATCTCTGTATTCAACTGATAAAGCCACTGGTTGGCGAAACGTCTCCAGAATAGAGGTACCCAGATGTCGCATATGGGTCTTACTCACAGCTGATTCTGTTTGGGGATTCCAAGTCGATTTATCAAAACTGCCGACCTGTTGGAAAGAAAAATAGAGCTTCCTGACTTAGATTAAAGGCTTGAATTCTTTCTCATATTCCTCACATGCATCAGTCACTTATTTCACTTCTCATATGGAGTTCCTGCAACAGGAGCATCTGGATACCTTGATCCAAGGAACTGGAGTTACCCTTCCCATCCTGGATAAAACCGGAGTTTCTTCCATTTTTTAAGGCATTGTATAACCCCGCGATGGTAATAATAATAATAATAATAATAATCCTATAACGAACAACGATTATCGGACTTCGTAATGAATGAATCCTTGTGACGATGGGTACATTATAGTCGTTTCCAGTTCGGTTTCTACTTTCTGTATGGTAGTTACTCCAGAGTCATCTCTAGCATGGTTCTTACCTTCTGTTTGGTAGGTACACCATAGTCATCTCTAGCATGGTTCCTACCTTCTGTTTGGTAGGTACACCATAGTCATCTCTAGCATGGTTCCTACCTTCCTGTCGCTTCGTACCTTCTGTACACCTGTTCACTGCATCCGGAATATTACCGTACATATTTTTTGTGTGTGTTCGTTCCCTGGATAGGTTTCAGGTCAAGGTGGTTTAGCCTCACCTCGTCCAGCATGACTTCGCTTAACGTCAGAGTCCCATTACCGAACCTCTGGTTTAATGGTCCAACACTACTGAGCTACTCGTTTAAGGGACAAACATTATCAAACCACTAGTTTAGTAGACCAAAACCACCGAACCTCTGGCGTAACAAACCAATACTACCGAACCAACATTACCGAACCATTGTTTTAACGGACCAACATTACCGGACTAATGGTTTAAGGGATCACTATTACTGGACCACTGGTTTCAGGCACCAACACTGGCGAACTGTTGGTGTAAGGAACCAATGTTACTAAACCACTTGTTTAATGGACCATTACCACCGAACCTCGGGTGTATTGGACCAATATTAGTGAATCTCTGGTTTAATGGACCAGCACTGCCGAACCACTGGTTTAAGGGCCCCAGATTACTGGACCACTGATTTAAGGGACCTAGATTACTGACCATTGGTTTAATTGGCCAATATTACTAGACTAGGCTTAAGGGACCAACACTACAGAACCATTGGTTTAATGGACCACTCTCACTCTTCCCCACCTCTCTTTTTCCTTCTTCACTTCTCCTCTCTTCCACTTCCCTCTTTTCCTCTCTCCACTCTCTTTTTCTCCCTTCACTCCTCTCTTTTTTCCCTTCCCTATCCCTTTTTCTCCCTCCTCTACCCCTCTCTTTTCTTCCTCGATCTTTCTCTAACTCTTCCACCCCTCTCGTTTCCTCCTTCATCCCTTTCTTACTCTTCCACCTCTTCTCTTTCATCTTCTTTTAAATCTTCTAGTCTCCCTTCACCCTTTTCTCTCACAAACTCTCCTTCCCTTTACCCAGTCAGTGTCTTTTTCCTCTTACCCTTCAAACACTCTTTCCCATTACCTATTCCGTTTCCCTTAATCTCCTTCTTTCTATCGCCCATTAAGTGTTTTGGCGTGCTTCACACTAATTACAAAGGCTGTGAGAATATGAAGGAGGGGAAGATGGAAGGGTTAAATGGGGAGGGTAACGATGCATGGTGTGGTAATAGTGGGGGAGGGTGGGGGTAATGGCGGGTGATGCTGGGGTTGGCTGACGTGGGGGTTGATGGAGCCATTAGTGTGGTAAATTGTAAAACATCAATAACGACGAAAGGGACTACGTGAATAATAATAATAATAATAATAATAATAATAATAATAATAATAATAATAATAATAATAATAATAATAATAATAAGAAGAAGAAGAAGAAGAAGAAGAAGAAGAAGAAGGAAATGCAAAGAAAAAGAAAAGAAGATAAAGATAAAGAAATAAAAGAGGTTTACGAGGAGAATAAGAGAGTGTAGGAGACAATCAGCAATACCATAAAGAGTGGCGTATGTGCTGGTCTAATTTCAACCCGGATCTGTACACTCTCATTCCTGTAAGTTCGTACTTGTTTTCAGCTAGTGAATTTCAGAGCAGCTGGGGGAAAGAAGAGAGCTTTACCTTGACTGGTGAAGCTCCATCTGGGCTCACTGGAGTTAACGAAGGCTACTTTAGGAATATTTCTTGGGACAACGCAGAATACACACACACATACACACACACACACACACACACACACACACACACACACACACACACACACACACACACACACGAAATGACAAACTAATATAGCTCATTTGTAAGCTTTAATGTGTTATTCATATATATGAATGTAAAACAATACTAAAAAAGCTGATCACAAAGAATGATAGGCCAAAGTTATAATAAATGTGCAAAGGCAGCATGGCGTTTACACCTTAACGAACACGTGAACAAATCAGGGAAAATAACAAATGGGATTGGAGTTAGTCGTATCAGTTAATCAAATTGTTAAGGAGGGTTTCGGTAGCAAGTGAACAAACTCCGGAAGCACAGAGGAAAGTGCATTCACACATGCACACATATAGGACAAAAGGAACATTTAAAAAAAAAAAGAGAAGTCAAAATTTCATCAAACATGTCCTCGAAAACACCAGTAGTTCAGAGCTGAAGACTTAAGTAAATACTCAGAGCTTAAGACACTAATAAAACAACTTACCCAGAGAGGAGACTAACACAAGGCACTAAACTACACACCAGTCCCCTGTTAAGCATTCAATGTAAAGTAATAAAAGTGGTAAGAAGCAAGAGATTCGAGGACTCCATATATAATGTCATTTTCTGTGTAGTATACTGAAAGTGGACGTATATCATTCCCTGAAAGCGAACGCGTTTTATTCCTGTCAGTCATGCAGTGGTCAGGACAGGAGGAAATGAGAGGTGTGTTTAGCTCAGTACGAGTCGGGTGGTGACGGCGGTAAAGTCATCATGTTTGGGCGGTAGTTTGAGTAGGTAATTTGGTAAGATTTTTAGTGTATACCATAGGTGTGTTTAAGTGCTCTCATGCTTATTTGTAAAGACCTAGTATGCAGGGGCCTGAGTTTTGGAGAGTATTTAGCGTTTCCACTGTAGACTATAAAGTCTGCAGAAAGTGGGGGTGTCATGGAGCCACCTTGTTCATAAATGTTCATTTATTTTGTTTAACTCATTAGTAGCAGTGTGCTAGTGAGAACTGGAGTGTGGTGTTTTTTGTAGTAGTTATAAGTTGTATATAAGTTACTATTACTAATATATTTATTTTTGTATAGGTGAATTTGTTTGTCCTTCTATATACTATATTAATTATTTGCACTCATGCTTCATTATTTAATATGAGTGCATGCTGGCCCAAGGTTTGCTGTCTTTTTCAGAGTAATTTTATAACCCCTAGACAGTGTGAGCAGCCTTTAGGAGCCAGGAACATTTTATTTAAGTTACGACATCAAAGTCGTAACAAGGACCACTTAGGGAGTATAGAATTCCTCACAGAACACCAACATAGTTTCAGAAACAGCAAATCGTGCCTCACAAACTTAATAAAAACTAAACTATTAAACCTGCGTGTAGAACAAGCTTCTACTGTGACAACGTTTCGTCTCTCGAAGAACTTTTTGTTAAGTCTAATGATTAAGCTCTACACAGTGCGAAACACTGTCACAAGTTAAGAAAGGGTTTTGACATAGAGATCAGGCAGATGGTAGGGTGAACACACGACATTTTCCATTGTGACACAAGCACGTTTAATATTGTATCCCGCAAATGAATAGCATAAACTGGACAGGAAAGGTGTTAGAGTACACTAGACGTA